CAGGCCATGTGCAAGCCTAGTGCTTTACCCAATGCCTGATCTCTTTTTTCTCTTTCTTAGTAGTATCATCATGAAGAAGTAGTGGCTCACAGTACTTTCTCAATATTAGGTTCAGGTCAGCCCTACTTTAACTTTTTTTCTTTAACATTTCTTAAAATCCTTTTCTTTCTAAAGTATTATGATCTCAAAACTTAGTCATTTTGTCTTTGATTTTTTTGTCATTTTTCTTAGGAGAATCTGTGTCTGGAGTATGGTACACTGAAGTTTTTACACAATTTCTAGATAGGACATCTTAAAGAACTGTATATCTGTAATAATGATTCGATCCCATCTTCAGTGTCTCAAGTTTAGTGTTTGTTTTGAGAGCTTAAGGTCTTTGGTTGGTTGATATATAGTTTTTTGAATGTGGGTTTTAAGATATCTGTCAGACTATTCTTGAATGCATTTTCTTTCTTTTCCTTTTTCCATGGTACTTTAAACTTTTAAGCTTTGAAAGGTGTTCTTTTAGAGCAGGAATTTGATTGCTTTGTTTACTTCTGTATTCCCAGTATGTGGAACTCAAGAGTACTTTGCACCTAGAACATGCTCAGTAATTATAGAATAATTATGACAGGTTTGGACTGGCCTTGAGAAACCTCCCAGTATGCATGCTCATGACTGTCAGTACAATACTATCTTATCTGATGACAATGTAATTAAGAGGAAAATTATGGTAGAAATTTCATATGGTACATTTTGAAGTCTGAACACATCTTCTGCCTTTAGTTGGCATAGCTCTTTGAAATCAAGAATGTATTATTGTTGAAAAAGCTCGTATAGATAATGAGGAAGATAAAGACAGAGATGGTGGCTGTTTTCAAGTAGCCTTTTGATATTAAATAGGACTGAAGGCAATACCCGGCATACAGTGGTGTGGAGGCGGGACTCCTGACTCTTAAGAGTCCAATGATTTGGTTAAACTGTTTTGTGTAAGCACATTAGTCTTTTTCTTATAGGACTTACTCAGATGTTTCATTCTTCATTATTCTAGTATGTCTTAGAGGCTTAAAAAATTTTTTTTTATTGGAGTGGTGATGGGGTAGGTGCCTAGAGGATCAGCGGCAGTAATAGGGATCCATGGTAGCCACATTCCTGGCGACCACATGAAGGCCTGAACTCTCTCTTTGTCCCTGGCCCTGTGTTACCTCTTTTTGGGGGATGGGTGTGAGGGGGATGTTGGGTCACTCTTGGTGATGCTTGAGGGAACATATGTGGTGATGGGACTTGAACCCGGGTCTGCCATGTATAAAGCAAATGCCTTGTCTCTTTGGTCCTTGGTCCTGTGTTCTGTTGGCATCCTATTTTTTTTTTTTTGTCTCAACAACTCAGTCACAAGTTTGTGTAGAAAAAGCTGCATTTCCCGCTTCTCTGTGTTCATCCCAGACTCTGGTCATGTGCTAACTTACCCTTCCTAGCTGTAGAACCATTGACCCCTGTGAGGTTTCACTAACCACTTCATCTCCGGAGGCCTTTTCTCTGGGCCTACAGTGGAGTGTTTATTCAGTTGGAGTATCCTTTACTCTTTCCAGTAAGGATAGTGATCTCTCAAAATTGATTCTCAGTGGGCTGGAGAGATGGTACAGTGGGAAACGTGGCTAACCTAGGTTCAATTCTGGCATCCCATATGGACCCCCAAACCCCACTAGAAGTAATTTCTGAGCACAGAGTAGTAAGCATGTCAGGTGTGCCACCCCCCAAAAAATAAATACCCCCCAAAATGACATCCAGGTATGTAACTTCATAGGGACTGGGGCTGTAGCTCATTGGTAGATTTCTTCCCTCAGGGCACATGGCCTCAGGGCACTGGGTGCTTTCCCTGCCTAGTTCTAGGCTGGGGTGGGGGGTGGGAGAAAAAGTAAATACTTAAATTTTATATTATTACTTCTTCTGGTTAATTTAGCCCATCAGGTACTTCAAGAGTTTGATGAGATCAGGAGGGAAAAGTCAAAACTGAGGGTCAGGAAGGACTGTAGCTCAGGTGATCACCTCCCACTCCCAGCTGCCTATGCCCACCCCTCTCCCCCATATCCCTGGGTATGCCACCTTAATAAAAGAAAAATAGCCACTTTGTAGCGTTTAGGCATGAAGATTGGAATAATACATCAGGCTTATTTTTCCTGGTTTGTGAATACACCTCTTTATGTTTAGTTCTCCAGAAGTTAAAAGTTCTTCATCAGCGTATATGTTATTATACCTTTAAAGAGCTGGAACTGGGATTTTAAACTTAAATCATAATGAAACACCTAGAAGTTCCTGGTTCTTGGCCATTTTGCATATATAAGACAATTTCAGACAAGCCAGATTGTGGCTGAGCTTCTTTCACATAAGGCTTACTGAGGAGAATTACGTCCTCAAAGTTAGAACAAGTTTGTATACCTGGTTGTGTTAAAATTTTTATTCTAGTTAATGTTTTGGAAGCTCCTGTGCATATTGCTTTGTAGTACAAATACACATTTGAACATACATTCAAATAAAAATTACTTGATCATCTTTGATTTTTTTTTTTTTTTAGTACTATAGACGCTAAGTCCAAAAGCTGAGAAAGCCTTGATTTTTCTTTGTATGGAAACTTTCTGGCTTCTTACCCACGATCTAGATATAAAATTCAGGGAGAACTTGAGAAACCTTTTTATAAAAAACAAAAACAAATTCACTTTTAAACTCTAAATTTTCCTCTGTAAACAGTGTGTCTCTCCTATCTCACTCTTGAATCCTTTGGACACATATAGCATCTGAGATTAGGTCTGGGTTAGCCTGGATAGTGGGAAAGCTCCCTATTGCGGGATTCCACATGAATTCACCGTGAAATTCCAGGACCAAGTTCTGGTCCAAGTTCTCTTCTCACCAGCTACACACTTCCCTTTCCCAGCCCCCTTAGACACACTGTGGCTGTACAGCTTCCCTGAAGTCTTCCCTGAACTCCTCAATCCTTGCTCTGCTTCCTTGGACTGGATAGAGGGGAAGCCTTCCTGGCCTGTCACCACCTGTGACATAGGGAACATTGTGTGCAGGCCTAGAATTATGACTTGGCTGTAGAGGAAACACACTATGACCTTGCTCCCTCCTCTCTCAGTAGGGGAAACGCAAGATGTGATTCCAATGGCCTGATTGATGTGCGCAGGAGCCAGGGTGGCTGTTGTCATCCGAAAGTGTGTGATGTAGGACAGGATGGCGGCCCACAGAGAACTGGGACACCTCTGCTCTGATCATTTTATGTCAAGAGTTCCTGTACCATGTGGACAGTGCTAGTGGGAGACTCATCTTGGTGCCTGCCTGTGAGCATCCTTTGACGCTGGGAGAGCTGTGAGCATCCTCTAACGCTGGGAGAGCTGTGGGCATCCTCTGATGCTGGAGAGGATCCAGCAACCACGGCCGAGAAAGCTGCAGAGCACCTCCAGGGAACACGAACATGCCCTGGAGAAAAACTGTTATATATGAATAGAAGAAGGGCCAGATAATTCAGATAATTTACTCAATATGTATTTAATCAGGCAACCAGTGAGAGATCAGGAGCTATAGTCCAGTAAACCATTGACAGATGTAGGAAAAATTGCTGGCTTCAGCAGTTTGCTGAGGAAAAATCTGTGTATGAGTAATTAGGTGCTACCTTTATTGTTTGTGTTTGTGTGTGTGTGTGTAGAGTCATCTTTGCTTTTCTTGAACTTTATATCTTTGACTTGATATTGACTATTAAAGAGAAGGACAGATACCATCTGTTGTAATTGGTATTAAGTTTCTTTGCAAAGGTATTGAAATGATTCAACCCAGAGAATCCCTTGCATTGCAGCTGTAGCTTATTTGAAAATCTTCCCAACTTTCCATCAAATAGTCTTTCCTCATCTACCCCGTTTCATTCTTTCATTTCACTTAACCTTCTGGAATGATTTCTTTTTTAAACTAGAAGAGCTCTTCTGTAATGGGATTCTAAGTTGTTTATTATAAAACCAAATACCCGCTGTGATGGAAGGCCCAGAGGTGAGGAACGGGCCTAAGTGTCAGCTGAGGTGACTCTCTGCCAGGTTCTTGGGAAGGTGCGCTCGGCTGCAGTGACCAGCTGACTGGGACCAGTGAGGTGGGGAGCTGCTATTGCCTGTGGAGCTGGTTTCTTGGAGCTGGAATATGATTTTTTAAATTTTCCCTTATGGTGTGTATTTGAGTTAGAGAAATCATCGTATGTCCATTCAGAATTTTTTTTTTTTAAAGAAAGAAAGTGAATGGGCAAGTAAAATCGGGTTTTATGGTCTTAACGAGTCTTACCCTTAAACTGTGGGTTCACCTGTGGTCTAACTGAATGTGGGGATGCAGAGCAACAGCACCAGTGGAAGGTGTATGAATGATGCGCAGCTACCAAACAATAATGCAGAAATCAAGCATGCAGTGAATCTGACGGGTTTCTGACAACTTTTGCTCAGGAGTTGCCCAAGGAAAAGTTTAAGAAATCATTCTCTAAGGTTAAGTTTTGCCCTTGGGTGGGGGGGGGGGGCAGGGAACAACAAACCAGTTAAGCAGAATAGGTGGGTGCTGATGTGGCCAAACAGTAGTGACAGTCTATTTTACCGTTCAGTCACTTTTAAAAAGGAACACTACTCACTTAACTGTAGTTTAGATGAATCTGTAATAGCACATAACTCTCCTTAATTGCCTGTTGAGATGCTGTCCTGCTGTTTTGTAGTCTTGGGTACAAAGCAGAGTTTCACAGAGAAAATGGAGTTTTACATTAATAGACCTCCAGCCAGGTGTCTAGTTTTTATAACTGACCTTTTTTTTCCCCCTAAATAATGGGTAAATAATGGGTAAATAATGGGTATAGTGTTGTCGAGTGATCCTGGACGATATTAACTTTTAGCTTCAGAATTCTTTAATGTATTACCAGTCTAAGGTTGAAGAAAAATGAAAATTAATCAACTTCCTTTTGCTTAGCAGTTGGATTTTCATGGATTTTCTTTTTCTTTTTCTTAAAGATTTGAACATGGAATTCAATCCTTCAGATCATCCTCGGGCGAGCACAATATTCCTCAGTAAATCTCAGACAGACGGTAGGTTAACTGTTTCATTTAAATTTTTATAAAAAAAATTGTTGTAAATCTTGGTTTTTCCACAAGGTTTGATTTTCCAAGTTAACTAGGATAGTCCCAAATAGATTGATGCTAGTTCCCTTGGTATTTTTCCCTTCATATTTCAACTTTTCATATTTTGGTTTGAAGAAACTATTCTCTTTTGCCAATTAACTGGATTAATAGTTTGTACTCTGAGAGGCAGAAATTTTTCTTCAAGAATTGATGTTAGCATAAATTCTCAAAATGTCAGAGAAATGCTTAGTTATAGACATTATGTGATTGTAAAAGAAAGCAGAATGTAATTTTATACAAGCATCACTGTCTCTGTTGTCCACTTAGAAGCAAATTAAACATGTACATTAAGGGTAAGTGTTTTCTTTTTTGCCAAGCTTCTGATGACCAGTTTGTACTATGACCTACCAGTTGTGTGTTGAATTAGTTTCAAGGTTTTTTCTCACTTCATCCCTGGCCTATCTTGGTATTTCCTGGCCCTGGCTACAAATGAGATAATAAAACCTATATAGTGCAGTGAACAACAGTCTTCTTCAACAGATTCCTATAGAAGAGTGTAGCAGTGAGATTTGTTAAATGATGATGTAGTGGCCAGGATGTCTCACATGACATTGCTGGAATTCAGGATGGCTATTTTCGGCAAATTGCTGAGCTCTTTTTTTGAGAAGATCTGAGGTCAATTAGGAAATATAATTAAGATAATAAGTTTATTTATAAGAATCAATAACTCCTCAGTAATGGCAGGTAACAATTTTGATAATGCTAAATAGGCCATTGGCTTAATTTAATAGAATTTTGAGCATTTATTAAAATGGAAGTTTCTAAGAGTAAGAATAATTGTAGATATCAGATACTTGTGATATCTACTATCTAATATATTGGATGAAAAAACAATATTTTTTTCCTTTGTTACGGAGTATTGAGAAGATCAGTGCTAGTAATCTAGGGCGGTATAAGTTACTTTAGAGGAAGAAAAGTGACTGAGTAGTAGTTTGGGATAATGAAAAATAAAAAGGAAGCGATTTCATATTTAATACTAGTACTGGGAAAACAAGTTCTATTCTTAATATACTTCTAGGTTTACTTTTTGCTTCATAAAAACTCAGGTTACAGTCTAGTGTTACTAACCAGTTTTTAACCAGTCACATAGAATTTCATGATAGTCTTTGAGTAGATGACTCATAACTTAATGGTTCTAGCTAACTGCCAAAAATTAGTGCAAGAATATCACTTCCCTTTTCCTCTTTACTACAGATCTCATCCCCCATTCTCTTCTGAAACATTAGGTATCTGTTACTCTGACTCTTAGTTCCATTCCGCCTGTAACCCTACTTGGGTCTCACAGCTTAAAACAAGAAAAAGAAAATTCCTACCCCTCTCCCACGGGTGTCCCCAGGTGTATAGTACTCTCTTGCCTAAGCTTCTCTTTTCTCTGTCCATTCATTTTCCTGCTCCCACCACCTCAACCGTTGCGTATGTGCATGCATGTGTGTTTCCTCGCTCGTTAAATGCCTTATTTCTGGCTGGTTTGCCAGAAACCAGTCTGGTTAATGAGCAGTTACTTCATAAATAATGAAAATAAACAGATTTGTAGATAAGTATATTTGGTAAGTTAATTAAATGAATTCTTTGGTGAATTGGTTACCGGAGAACTAACTGATTTGGGGAATTGGTTAGGAATAAAATTCTCACTCATCCTCCTTTTAAAAAAAATTACTTAAAAATTATTTTTATTGCATACACGTTTGTGTTTGTTTTGGGGGCCACATACAGCTGTGCTCAGGGCTTACTCCTGGCTCTGGACTCAGATCACTATTGGGGGTGCTCTGGGTGCTGTATGTGGTGCCGGGGATTCATCCTGGATCTGCTGCTGGCAAGGCAAACATTTGCTCACTACTTTGTCTCTCTGGCTCCCTCTCTCAGGTTTTTCTCAGACATCATAATACCCATTTCTCTATTTATTCCTTTATGTTAGCACTTTCTAGGCTACTTTTCCTTTTTGATCTGCACACAATTCCTCAAAGGTTCCACATCAACTGTAATGTCGATCCAGATTGCTCTGTACCTGTTCAAACCCACCTACCCAGCTTTTTTTTACCATGCAGTACCTAGGTTCCTCTCATAATGTCCCAAAAAAGAACTTTGTCACTTTAGTCAACCTACTTTTCCAGATCTCTCTGATTCCTCCCACAGGGAAAGGCCTTGAATTTTCTAGGTTCTTCCCATTTCCCAATTTTCACACCCTGACCATGGTACTGGAATGGCCCCAGCCTGATTTGCTGTCACACACATGACTTCCCAGCTCCAAGTTAATGACATCATACTGGGAGATTGAAATTGCTATGATAGAGAGTGTTGCACCACAGACATTGGCATCTGCTACAAAATTAGAGCACAATTACCTTTTTTTCCCTTTTTTTGAAACAGCGGTTACAGATTTAGCAGAATACTATTCCACCCAGGAAATCCAAGGTATATTAATTTTTACCTTTTTTATAGTCCCACGAATCTGACTAATCTCTCCCATTCCCATTGTGCCAGATGAGTTGAGACATGTAATTGTTCATTTGGATTGCCACAGAGGTCTCCAGACTGGCCTTTGACCAGCCCCCTGTGCCAGAAGCACAGTCAGATCAGATTATGTCGCTTGCTTGCCCAAGCTAATTTAATGGCTTCCCTGTTGCCTTAGAATTAAATTCCAGATGCCGTAGCATGTTTTAGAGTCATGTGTGGTCCAGTCTCTGCCTGCCTCTGTCCTTTTGCAGTCCTTGAGTCACAGTGAATCCCCAGCAGTTCCTAGTGTGCCACATGACCTTGTGTTCCTGTACATTTACCTTGAGTTTCCTTTCCATTTCTGCACAGCTCATTTCTTTAGTCTCCAAGCCTTGTTTCTGCTCTCATTGCCCCTGACGTTATTCTGGAGCACTCTGGCTGGTTTGAGTGGGCCTCCAGTGTGCTTCAGTATTAGCTTTCCTCGTGGTCTGAACCAGATTGTGGTATTTAAAATTAATTCCTCCTCATTGCCAGTTGGCTTCTAGACAGAACCAAAACATGTGATAATCTTGTATCACTTGTGCTCTGTCTTGCCAGGCACAAGGATGTGTTGGGCCTGGATGGCTGAGAATAGCAGAAATGACCAAGCCAGCCCTTGATCTGATTGTGATCACTCCTCACAGGGATGAGCATCATTCCGCTGCTGCGCCTCCTGATGGCAGTAGAGCAGTTCAGCCTTGCAGGCCCTCGCCTACTCCTGTCGCTGTTGGTATGAGCTGAGGTTTTAAGCACGCAGACTTCCTTTACCTCCCTCTCTTGGGAATCAGGTTGTCACACACAGATAATTCACTGACCTGTTCTCTGCCTTGGTCAGAAGTCCACGAAAGCACTAGCCCCTGGCGTCCTGACTGGGCCTTCTCTGCACAGTACTGGACAGAGCGTGTCCTGGCAGGACGATCTCCTCATGGTGATTGGTTTCTCCAGTAGTCTGGGTCAGAGCTGATGTGCAGGGGAGATGCTGCCTTCTACCCCAGCCCTGCATCATCTGCCTTGCTGCTTCTTTCTCTGCCTACCCCTCACCCTCTTTCCTTCCTCAGAATAAGCTCTGTCTGCTGGCTCCTGCCTTCCCATCCCTCAAATGTTTGGTGTTGCGTTCAGTTACCAGGTGTTTCTTTTCTTTCTTTTCCTTTTTTTTAATCACTCATACCTTCGTGGTCCCGCTCTCTCTCCCCAGTCCTGCACATGCTCTTTGTTTGGTAGCTTGTGGGGGTGGACTCGGCTGCCCCCGCCCCGTTCCTGCAGGCGCCCTGGAGAACAGCACCCATGTTCTGGAACATCAGCCTTCAGGAAGATCTTCTGTCCCTGTCCTGCACTTTCTAACCCAGTGGCCCTTGCAGGCCTGCCTGCAGGCTTCCCAGTTCCAGACCATGGCCTGGGTGGTCCAGGTGTTCCGGGTGGTCTCCAAGAGCTTATTTTCATCAGGTTCGTTCCCTCTTTCACTTTCTGCCTGCTGCCTGCCTTTCCTCTGGGATTCCAGTGGAACCAGCTTTTGATCTTACGCCTCCACCTGTACCTCCTCTTTTAAGAAGTCCTCCAAGACTGACTTGGCTTTCTTGGCCGCTTCCTAAATGGTTCAGGGCAATCTGGCCAAGGTCCCAGGAAGCTCGCGTCCTCACTCTCCTCCCATTCCCCCTTCCCCACCCTCCTGGCCCTCGAGAAAGCCTCAAGCTACTCTCAGGATTGTGGGCTGTGATGCTGCGGCCCACACCAAGCCCGTATCCCCAGCTCACTTTCATCCTCCGTCTCTTCCAAGCTGCGACCTGCTAGGTGTTTCCTGACTTATATTTCTTTTCCCTTTGCATGTCAAAGAGATTTAGCGTGGACTTGGAGCCTCCTTCTGAATGTTCAGGAGACCCGAAACTTGAACATAATAGAGTTTTAAAGGAGTTCTTACCTTCCTAAGCCTTCTCCAGCCACCTGAAGTTAGGAACATTCTGTCCACAGCCAGCTTCACTACTGTCTCAGTCATATCTTCATGGAAATGAGAAGTTGCTACAAAATTTCCTAGTGTGAGAGTCACTGAACAGATATCAAAGTTACTCAGAGGGTTGGGGATAAAATGAGGGTGGGGACCTCAGACAGGGGCTGCCTTGACATTGTGTAGTTGTCTTGGGTGTGGCGAAGAGCTAGGAGTAATCCCTGAGCATCAGCAGGTATGCCCTCTACTCCCTCCCCCCAACCCCCACTCCTCAAGGGGGGAGGGAAGATTCAGGATCCTTATTAGTCTTAAGAACTCAGTTGATCCAAACAATCACTGTATCACTGTCATCCTGTTGTTCATCGATTTCCTCAAGCAGGCACCAGTAACGTCTCCATTTGTCCTAGCCCTGAGATTTTAGCAAGTGCCACATTGGAGGCTCCTTCACAGTGAGGGGAATGAGACCCATCATTTTTGCTGGGTTTTGGCATATCGA